ACTAGTTAATTGTTTTAAAAGGAATAAGAGGTTTTATGCATTAATAGAAAAACTAATGATTCTACACAAATGTAAGATTCTATAGGGTATTTTTCAATCCAGAAATTCCCCCCACCTATTCCTTTAATTTACTTGCAGGAATTCTCCTACCCGTGCTTGGGTTTACATAAGCTAAAAAAAATAGTTTAAAGGTGTATGATTTCCAGAAACTTTGAAGACATAAAAAAATTGAATTCTTTTTCAAAATTTCCTTTAGGAAGTGTTTTAGGAAAATAAAACATACGCAGTTATTAAAAATAAAATTGCTTACTCACTGAATTATGTACAAACATCAACAAAAATAACATAAAATGAGAAATGTATTATAGATATAATATTAATGAATGGCAGTTACGTTACTTATTTTTTCAGAAAGTAGCCATTTCAAATACTTTTATACATGTATAATCACATTTTGAAGATTGTAGTATATTATTGGAGAGATTTTAAACATTCAATTGAAATATCTTGTTGTTCATTCTATGATAAAATATTTCAGTTTTGTTAAGTTTCCCACCATATTCCCATTTTTGTGTTTCAGTTATTGGAAAAAAAAATACCACTCCATTTTTTTCATCTAAAGTCTGGTTTCCTAAGTAATGTGAACATCTATCTGTTTTTCAGTTACATAGAGAAAAGAAAAGCACGTTTGTGTTCTTTGGTTCTTTCTGTTTCCTCCTTGAAAACCTAGAAGGGAAGTGCTCTCTTCACTTTCTGAAGCAAACATGATTGATGATCTGTCACAGAATATATGACATGATAGGAACTTAACAGCAAAAAAGTCTCATGGATACATTTTTCCATTTTGATACATGAATTTGTGAAAGTTAAGGCTGCAGAGGGACAGCTGGCTCTCCACTGCAGTAAATGGCAAAACCCACTTCCCCTTAGAGGAAGAACTTTGGAACTGTTGCTGCTTAAATCAGTATTCAAAGCTAACTTTCTAAATGTACTTTTTGCATGGGGCTGAAGAGTGCTGATAACCACAGTGGCGCTGATCAGTAGCTGCCACTTCTTGTTTTCAGAAATATGGAAGTCTTTACTCAGTTTTTTTTAGTCAAATTCAAGTCACTCTGCATTTTCAGTAATTTAACCCATGTTAAATAGTAGCTACACCACCAATAACTTTGGTCACAAATGAATAAAAGACCATGTATACTATAGCGAATGACTAAAATTATGCTTCAGACCCAGAGGAGGGCAATGTAGCCCTATTCAAACAAACAAACAAACACACACCTGAAGAAAAAAAAAACCCAAAACAAAAAAACCAGAAGAGTGCACTACTCCCATAAGGTTGGCTATTTCTGTCTGACACACCAACACGGATTTATACAGCAAACGATCTTTTAGTCTTTCACAGTTTAGCGGAAGACAGGACTGTTACAAGCCGTCCTTTTTATAGGAGAAGGAAATAAGGCAATTATCAGGAATTAAGTTTGCCAAACTCTACTTAATACCCCAAACAAGCATTAGAGCTTGTTCTTGCACCACTGAGAAGTAACTGATTTAACTGGTAGGAATAAAAGAAGTCTTCTTCCCTTTCTGAGCAATAATCCTGATGGCTGCTTGTCACCAGATTAGATTGTGCTTTGCATTTAATCAGTATTGTCTGTCACAACTTTAATCTTAATAAAAATCTCAGTTCTTTTAACGTTAATGATGAAGTCAAAAAAGGAAAGTTTAACTGAAAGAGAAGATGAATGATAAATGTTATGTCCATGAAAACATTACAAATTTGTTAATTTTCCATAGAATACTTTATTAGCTGAATATATACTGAATATCTTGTTGCTAAAACTGAATTCAAATTCAAGTAGCTTTTAATTTTTTTTTACTGTTCAGCTCTTGAATACTCACTCTACAGGTTATACTAAGGAAAAAAGATACTTTAATAAATGTTTAAAAATTAGGATTTAGGGAAAACTCACTTGTCTAAAAATGTAAAATGTGATACTTGAACTAGTAAATCTATCCAAGTATTTGCAATTACTTGTTTGACATTTGCAAATGCCGAAAATAAGAATGTCTTCACAATGCCTCAGGATCCAAGAATGATCCTCACCATGTCTAGTCTTGTCCCAAGAGATAAGTCAAACAGGTTCCCAAACTTCAATTTTATAAGACAAAGTCTTATACTCCAACTCTTATACTTCAACCAGCAAGGAAAGAAAATTACTACCTGCAGCTGTGGATCTCAGTGACCTGGCTAAGGGAAAGCCAGTAAGAACCAATCCAATTCACTCCAAAATTACTGTAGGAGAAATGGATATATTAAAAATTTGTACTCTGTTCTGCCTGACGTAACTGTATTGCCAGAAGCACAAAGAACAGAGATTTGCCCTTACTGTGACTCAGTATTCACGAATATGTTTTAACAAATAAGAATTCCAGTACTTACAGGTATTACTTTTAAGTTACAGACGGAAAATCCCTCAAAGATCAGTTATGTATCGCTGGACACCTTGAACTTTTGTTACTGCTAGAACAGAGGAAAAAATGAAAGTGCATTGTCATGTGCTTGCTGTTAAATGATCTTGCTGAAATAACGCGGTAAAGATTAACATTTATTAGACTTATTCATAATGTGCTGTATGTTTTATTTTTTGATATCCCAGATGAGCCTGCCATAATAGTTTACTAACTTCTACTAAGATAACTGGATTTTGTTTTCAGATACTGGATTTTGTGTGTCTTAGGTAGCTCACTATTTTCAGTATGTTAAAAACGCAGTGCTTGATTCTCACTTTAACATCTTTAGCTCTCCACAAGTTAATCATTGCATTGCTTAAATAAAAACACTCAGTACTGAGTACTTTCAACATTGTGTATTTTATTAACAAAAATACCATATGAACAGAAGCAAATTACAAAAATTGAAATGAAATGGCTATGGTAATCTGTTTAATAAGTGAAGTAAGACAAAATATTAAATATTTGTAAGAAATCAACCCCACGATAGTGAAATGTTTTAACTTTAAATTGTAATGTAAAAAGATAAATCTGATTCCATTCTGTATTTATCCTTCTAGAGAATCAGTATTTTGTATATGTTACTAATATGAACCATTAACTCAAGTCCCTGTTAAATTACAGTTCAGTTGGAAAGTTCTGGAAGAGCAACCAACATTTCAACCAGAAGTAATTCTGTAACAAAAACCCAGGATTTAAACAAATTTCATTATTTTGCTTAAATTAAAAATCACAGTACCACTATCACACAGCAAATCAGGTGTCTGCCTTAGTCAGATGTGGTGAACAAAGCATGGAAAGCAACAAAGACTTTTTTGTAACAGCAAATACACTGAACAAACCCAGTGATCACATGCTTACTACTCTGTTCACAGGAAAACAAACTTGTTATTATACTGAACTTTGATTATGCTTAGTTAGTATATAGACTATGAAAAATTGTATCAAGCAGTGACTTCTTGTGAGGGCAACTTAGTGTTTGGGTCTCCAAAAGGTATGAAGAATCACAACATAAAATAAAGGGCTCAGTTCTGCAAAGTGAGTATTTTTGCATCATCATGTTGATATCAAGGAGAGGGAAAAAGTGCTTAGCGATTTGCAGCATTGCACTGCAGTCAAGTAACAAAACTCCCACAAAATATTGTTCTAATTTATTATATTATATTATTTTAATGAGGCCTGAGCCTCAAAGTACTCTAAGATAAATTATTCCTGATTCACAGTGCCATTGTAACCTCTGAACAAATCTTACAGGACAAAGTAATCTAAAAAAAATGTAATGTTTCTGTCTGAAGATGTTTTATCCAGCAATATAAGCAACATGAACATCATGAAAACTTTCCCTCTTTTCTTCTCTGCTTGTTTGCCTGTGCAAGTGACAATGCTTCATGCAATGGTTTTTATGTGCGTACAGGTTTACAATCTCCCCCATATGGAAAGTACAACAGGAAATTATGGTATTAAAACTGCGGTGTGTGGGGTGTGTGCTGGCATGGCACTGAAAAATATTTTAAATTCAAACCTCATCTACCTCAGAAAAAGGTAATGAGAATTGACTTTTTCAGTCAGTTATCTTGATATGTGTAAAAACTCCACTCACATAGATTTATTTGGCAATTTCCGAAGATTTTAGTCGGGTGCTCTATGCAGTGGATAAGTGCTTAAAATTGACCTAAAGACGTCACCTTGTTCTGAGAAGCTGACCCTGGGTCAAGCTGTGACCTTTGTACTGTCCCTTTCCCTTTCGTAACTACCGGAAGGAGGCGGCTGCTGTTGGCTGCGTTTTGCTCACTGCTGCTCTGTGTACAGGACCATGCTACTCAATGAAACAATCTCTGGAGAATTTTCTTTTGGTTTTTAAGGAAAGGAGACATTAAAAGTTTTCTTAATTAAATTAAGCCGGCTTCACTGCAAGTGAGGGAATACAGGACAAATTTTCTTTCTGAGGAAGGCAAGACTGAAAAACTGAACATTTATTCCCTAGGGAGAGTTATGAAACAGGGTAATAAAATGCTGGATACATCTAAAAAAGCATCTGTCCTGAGTTCAGATGAAGAAAAAAATGTCAGAGTACAATGACTGAAAATTAACTTTTTTACTCTTACACAGAGTAAAACCAAAACACTTGGAAAGAAAATTCTTGAGAACAAAAATGATTTCTCTAATGAGCAGCATGGGTTTTCCAGTTGCCAGGGTGTCTGAACTTTTCCCAACCAAAAGCTAATCGGCATCTTACCAGACTCCCACAAAGACACGCTACATCAGCAACAGCACAGAACGGACTGCTCCCACCTTCCTCCAGACCACAAATGCTATGATGCAGTGCTCCCTCTTACTCTGAGCAGCTGATGTTTGGATTGAGATGCTGCACACGCTGCTTGGATTTGCCATCTTTGTATCAGCACGCCATCCTCCCCAGCACCATGGAAAAGAAGCTGCTGATGAGTTACAATTTGCTTGCCCTCTGCCCCTCTGTGGAGCCATGTTACTCAGTGAAATGTGCTTCTCTGGGCTTCTTGTGTCAGCCCTAGCAGTCTGAATCTCTCCGCTGGAGGAGTGGCAAAGTAGGCTTTTTGCTCCTCCGAGTACCTTTCCTTCACTTCAATTATGTCCCTGTAGCGGCCGTCCTGCCAGTGGAAATTGAATTGCTCCAGCAACTCAATTCTTTTTTCCTCTGTGCTCACACAGTCAACAGGGGCAGACTGTTCCAGGAACAGTACCTGAATATCTGGGAACAGGAGGAGACCCCGGATAGCAAACCAACCGCCATACTTGGGATGGATACATACGCCATAGATCTTCTGGAAGGAAAAAAGAAGGATCTAGGATGTCTCATTTTGTCTCTAGTAATGGTTTGAGTTCAAACCATCAAGCTTTGATGCAACTTCTCACACTCCTAGCCCTCTGTTGGGAGTACTATACAGAGAAAAAGGAAAGCTCTTTCCTGAACATGTGGCTCGAAGCATTGCATTTCATTCCCATTTTCCTGGAATGTGGGGAGAGGTCCCTTTTTGAAAATCTAACACAAAAATTAACCACAGTGCAATTTTTTTTTTCTATTTCTAATGCTCCAAGCAACAGGTCTTTTACACTGAAATTTATTCTCCTGCCTAAGTAGGTTTAATAGATCAAGATATTCTTCTCCATGTATGCATCTCCCTACCACCCTGAAGAATCCTGGAAGCTTCTGATTCCTGTCTGAAACACTTTATACATCTATATGTGATCTAGACTTTGTATTTTCCTGCAGGAAGAACTAGTGAGTAAACAATAATTGTACAATTCAGTGATTGCAGTTTGGTGGTTCTTCCCAGACTGTGGTTTTGCCTCACCTTTTTACCCCAAGGATCAAGCTTCACATCCTTCCTTTGGTAGTAATATGCGGCTCCAGCAACATGGGCAGCTGTCTGTGCCAAGAACTTGGGCTTTCGGCTTGGCAGGATCTCATAATCAAAGATGACATCCACCTTCTGATCAGGAAATTTCTGGGAAAATTAAAAAACATCAGCCCAGGCTCACGGAAGAAGATTTGCCACTACAGAAGTGCTGGATGCTAGCAAATCAGGCACACGTGAAGCCTGCAGATTTCCACATGCTGCTGCTGAAATCTATCAGTACGCTTGTGGCCTTGGGTTTTCAAACTATGACTGTAAAGCACTCTACATAGCTACAGGTTGTAATGGCAAAGAGACAGAATATGCAAGTAAAGCAAGTCAACAGCCTGTTGATGCTCTTACCATCATGAATAATGCTTTAGCCTTCTAAAGAGCAAAGGCAGGAACTGGGAGGCTTTGTCTACTGCTCAATCCACCTGGTTATATGTCACAATAGTAAAAGGAATCGGTATTTCAGGTTCTTACCTCCTTTACACGTGATAAATGATGAGAAACACACTGATCCACAGGATCTCTGATTATTTTTAACCGTTCTTTATTCACAAAAGGTTTAAGGGCTTTGTCAAACATCGAAGGCGTGCTGAGGACCACAAAGGCCAGTGTGTCATCTGGGTAGGGGAGATGAAAGGCTGGCTGGAGAATAGCATTGTACCATCCAACCTTTGGCAAAGAAAAACAAATCTCCATTAAAAGGGACACCACTCTTTTGCTAGTGGGCATGCAGGAATTTAAAAAAATGGAAAGAAGTGTAGCCAGCTTCATTTGCAACCCAGATAGGCAGCCTGCCTAGTGCCTTCCTTTCGAACCAAGTTGTTTTGCATACTGGGATTTACAGTTTCTGGAAGCTGTACTGTGAGCCCTATGTGAGAGATAAGAATCATCCACTGCTTTCCGCTCAAGACTGCCCTTTATCCAGCTCTGCTCAGAAACCGTAGAGGGAGGTATGAACAACCAGTCTTGCCAATGCAAATCAGATGTTTTGGTTTAGATAAAGCTTTTACAGTTTTTTTTTTTCTCATCTTCAGCCAGAAGGAAACTGGTACTTCTGTTTTGCTCATGTGACAAGTTGCATGGTTTTAGGAAACATTTATGTGTGGAAATGAAGGATGTGAAGTTCCTAGCAGTGTTAAAATCCCCCTGAACTGTCAGCTGTGGCGCGTGGATTGTGACGCAGCCACATTTTGGTACTTGTTTCCAGGGCTGGATGCGTTATAACACAGACCAGAAATGAGGGATCAAGCCAGGGCAGCAGGAAGACATGACCAGAGGGACAGGGCCCAGACCAGCAACTGCCAAGCAGGAGGAGGTAATGGCCGAAAACCCCTGCACTCCACTACTAATGTATTGCACAAAACATCAGTCTTTTTATAGGTTATGACAACTCCCACTCTCCTGGGATGTCATAAAGACCAAGTCTAACATTCAGAAAGATGTCAAGTAATGTAACTCTAATATTTAGCCTGAAACTGCAAAATACCGGTCATCTCTAAGTATCTGTAAAATGAATTTGAAAGTGACTTTACAGGTGACAGTGGCAGCCAGACCTGCCTGTATGGAAACATACAATGAAAACTAAGTTTATTATAAAGATATATTCTTATGTCAATCCCAGAGTTTAATTAGTTTTGTGGCTCTTGTTTAAGATGCTGAAACAAGATGTTACAAGAAATTAGAGAGATGTGAATCTAGGGTTTGCTGATTTTCTAGTTTGTATCAGTCAGTGCACCAGAGCTCACTGTGTAAGAATTAAATCTAGAGAGAGATACAGTGCTGCAGGGTTTCCCTCTGGTAGCTGTAGCCTTTTTGATCTGGGTTCTGCCCCTCATTCTGCTGCTGTGTTTTGAGAAAGCAGTGTTAAATTCTCCTCCAAATTCTGGAGATTTCACTTTTCTCAGCGCCTCGTTCCCTTTTACTTTCTGTCAGATCAAGAATATAGCAGGAAATACAAATATTTCAGGTGACAAATACAACATTCCCAGAGGAATGATACTGTAGATTGATTTACTGCAGATTGCCTCTGGGGTGGGCAAAGAAGGAACCCCTAAGTTTTGGTGAAAACTGAGCTTGTACAATTCAACACGGAACAGCAGACAAGGCTGCCTCAGTCGCAAGGGAGAGACCCCTTCAGTGGTCAGAACGAGCCGAGTGCCCGCAGGCCATTTACAAACGGATGAAGTGGTCTGCGTTTTAACATACAGGCGTTTCTACATTTAGATTAAAATTTAAGCTTGCTTAGAGGACTTTACTCCCTGTCGGTCCAGATGTATCTTTATTTAACTCTCCTGACCTCATCAGACTAGGATCAACATAAAGGGCCTGAGCAAACCTCTAGTTCAGCTGGTGCTCCGCCGGTGCCAAGGCGCAGCAGTGACCTTCATCTGCTCCACCGGGCAGCTTGTTCGGTAACCTACACCAGCAGCGGTGCAGCACGGCTCCTTCGGAGCATTTCCAGCCCCAGCCCGCGAACTGCGGCGCCCAGGCCCAGGCCCCGCTCAGCAGAGGGGAGCCCCGACCTCCCCACAGGCAACGGCCGCCCTGTTTGCCTCCCCCGCTCCCGGAAGAGGTGCAGGCGGCGCCGCAGGGGCTCGCCTCCAGTCCCCCAGTC